TCCCAAGGTTGGCTTGAACCGGGCTTGATGTACGGAAGGAAGGGTCCAACAGATCGGGATGTTCAAATCCGAGCACCACGATGCGGGCCTTGGCTTTCTTGCAACCATCAGGTGTGACCATGGTCTGCGCGTTGGACATGGGATCTCGGAGGGCTTCTGGATGTTCTTCATCAGGGTCCAGTTTCCACGTGAGGACCCAACGGGCACGCATGATGCGCCCAGAGTTATAGGCCTCCTGGATCTCCTTGTCATCCAGGCACTTGCGGACGGCTTCGTTTTTGAGGAAGCTACTGGCTTCCTTGGCCTTGGCACGGTGGAACAGCTCGCGGAGTTGTGGTGTGAGCTTCTTGAGGTTGACTTCGCTGCTCCGCATTTGCTTGACGAGGAACAGGTGGGGATCGCGAATGAAGTTCTTCTTCTCACGATTATTGGAGAACTCCAGGTTGAACTCCATCACCATTACTTGCTCGGTGTCCATGAGAGCCGTGTGAAGGTTGATGGTGTCCTCCAGGGATTGAAGCCATAGGGCATCGTCTGGATCGATGCGGGCTTTCTTGAGTTCCCGACGAAGAGCAGGATCATTTTCGTATTCAGTGACAGCTCCGGCTGGTGACACTGACGGTGTGGGCATCGCTGTGGAAGTGGATTTCAGGGCACTTGAGGAAGGTTCGGGTTCTCCGGTGCGAGCGACCTTGGCTTTGAGCATGGGTGCAGGCCGGATGTCCAGGGCAATTTTGGGATTTGGGAGCTTGGTCGATCATATCCACGAACTCACTCTCAAAGACCAGGCGCTCCTTGTCGGTGACCAATCGCACACTGTGAGGAGAGCATCGCATCAGCTGAGTGCCAATGAGAACCCAGACCACATGATGACGGTCATCATCTGCCTGCTGATGAGGTAGGACCTCATGGAAGATCACACGTCCCGGTCCGATCCAATGGGGCTTGCCGGACTTCTTGAGACCTTGACGTGCTTCTGAGCAGGCCAGACTCTTCTCCAAACCTTGACCAGGTCCATGGGTTGGAAGGTGCGTAGAGGATGTCGCACTGTTGTGTTGACCAGCTTGGAGAGAACGCGCTTTGCGCGTGTCGACCGGGCAATGTCCTTGGCCTTTTGACGAGCTTGCGCAAGCTGCTCGAAGTTGCGGTGTTGTTGATCTTGAGGGAGATGTTCGAAGGCGCGTATGTCCTCCTCCATGATGTTGTAGGCCTTGCCGTAGCACCACTGGAAGGAGCTGAAACCGCGTGTGTACTCGGTGGAGTTGAGAGCTGCCGCAGCCAAGTAGAGCGTCACCACTGGGTCTGGATGGTTGTGGCCGTCATCTTGACATCTTGGATTGCGGCTTCGACAAATGCCATGTGTCCTGCTCTCCTTTTCCGGGGGGAAGGCTAGCTGAACACCAACGGAGTTGCAGAAGTCGTGCATGGACTTGGCAGTCATGGTTTTGCCGCAATCAGGAATCAGCACCTCAGGTCGAGGTTTGTCAGAGAGCCAACGTTCGGAGAAGGCCTTGATGAGCATCTTGGCGTTCTCCGCTTTCCTCTCGAGGAAGTTGTACTGCATGAGCGGACAGACTACTCGCAGCTTGGTGGCCAGGTCGATGAACAGGGCGAACTTGACCTTGCGGGGTCCTCCGGACATCCCACTTGCTGAGATCCAGACCAACCGCCTGCCAATCTTGGTATAGGGGATAGGTTGTCGCTGGAGGCACTTGTCCACTACGTCCGCCACTCACACGCGCTGCATTTGAACTTCTTGGCCTTGTCGATGTTCGGCTTCTTGGAGAAGTCGAACCAGGTTGGAGTTCGTAGGGTGCCCAGCAGCCTTGTGGAAGTGGGCTAGCTTGGCTTCCCATCGATGCACTTCTTCAGGACTGGGTGCATCAGGTGGATGTGGTGGATTAGCTGGAGGATCTGGTAGCTGTGGTGGAAGAACATGAGGCCTTGCTGGTGCTTGGCCAGGGTGGGTGTGTTGGTAGAGCATGAGGAGCACCATCCTCTTGAGCTGCAAGTTCCAAGGCCAAGTGGGCACCATGGTTCTCGTTCTTGGAGTGAACCCAGCGATGGAAGCGGGGTGGTAAAAGCTGATCACGCCATCATCTTGCTATTGCCAAAACCATGGACCTGGAGGTTTCGATCCCTTGAATGTAAGTGTGCTGGTGGCTCTTGGGGCATACCTTGGCATGAAAGTGGCGGTGGAAGTCACAGTCGGTGGTGCGAATGGACCCCTTTTTGGCCAGGAAGTTTTCCTCGAGGTGGTCCTTCATGCCGTAGGCGCAACCATCAACTCTACAGTGGAGCCACTCGATGTCCCGACCTCCAAGTTCTGCCGAAAGGTCTTGAAGAGGTCGTTGTTCCCACCCGTGAAGTCCTTCGCGAACCGGAGCATTTTCCGTTCGCGGCGGCGGTCTCGGGTGTGGACTTCGTACAGGGAAGTGAGAACCACAGTTTGCGAGGTTTACGTTCTCGACGAAGTTGCCGAAGACGAGCCCAGGTTTCCTCCTTGTAAAGGTCGAAGCCGTTGTAGAGGTTGATGCGTCGAGCATCCATGCCTTGGTCCTGCACCGCTTGAGAGAGCCAGCTTTGTGGGGCACATGCGAATTCCCACAGCACATCGCCTTCGCCGTAGTTGAGGTTGAGGAGCTCGGTGGTCATGAGGGCTTGTACGCCGATCACCATTTGCATGACCTTCACACCAACACTGACCGGCAGAGGGTGGATCATGCTACTTCTTAAAGTTCCTCCTCTTGGAGACGGGGTCCGCGATTGCCTGCTGACGTTCGGTGGCGACTTCCATAGCTTTCATGAGCTTGGTCTTCTCCTCGTGGACAGGTACCGAAAGATGTCCATCTTGTCCATCTGAGGTTTCTCCCAACTGTGACTGCTCGCCATTGACGGGTTCGGAGAAGCGTACCCTGCGAAAATCCTTGTTGGTGGTGCGCTTGATTGCGCCTGACCATCCCAGGCTGGGAGGTGGTCAGACCTGAGTTCATTGTCCATGCCCACCTCGCAGGGAACGTGCCAATCCTGAGGTCCTGAGCGATGACCTTTTCCCGGGTTGTACCTCGACGCAGTCAAAGATCAGAGTCTCTTAGAGATTTAGGCTCGAGGCGGTCAGGTAGCTGCGCACACGTTCCGAACGCTGGATCGGGCTCAGCAGGAAGCACTGAATCGTTGCCTCCTGCTCCGCTACCAATGCAGCGGGAGTAGCGCGGGGAACGAATGGCGCCAAGCCTTGTTTCTTCCCAAGCCGCCTGTGCAGCTGACTGACTATGGGGTCGTGGCCAATGTCTGGCTCGTCTACAAGCAAAAGGGCCCTTCAGCTGCGGAAGGGTCTGAATGAGGTCTGGACAATCTACATGCATGTCATCAACTGATGAGCCTCCAAATGCCCGTGTTGCAGAAACCCAATTAGTTCTCTACCCACACCCTTCCATCGCAAGGCGCCCCCCCTTACGGCTTGGACATCTTTTTAAAGAACCCTGTTTGAGTTGGCTTGAGCATGCGGGCGTGATTTTCATTCGGAACCCGTGTTTTTCCCCCAAATCGTTTGTGTGCCTGTGTGTTTGTGTGTCTGTGTCTGTGTGAGGCTTCGGTTAGTCCTGTACAGAAGTGGATTGCGAGACTTGAGACACACCATGGGGCGGGACCCGACAAGAAAAGCCCTCTATAAAAATAAGCCGCTGTGGGAGCATGAGCTGGATCACTAGCTGAGCAGCGGTTTTTTTTTCAAATGCAGGAGCCAAAAGGAGAGGGGAGCTGGCATGGTGGCCGCGCAGCCTACTCCTGGTACCGCGTAGCCTCGCATAGCCCCCGCGTAGCGTAGCCACTGGCAAAGCGAGCTGTCGCGATAATCGTCCGCGTAGCCTCTGCGCAAAGGCTTAGGTTGAAAGCTTGTATGTCTCAAAGAAACAGGGTGAATTTGATCTGCCTTGGCTCGGCATGGCCCGGCCGGAGCTGAGTTCGCTCATTCCGCGTAGCCTCAGCCGGCACGTACGACTACTACTACTACTACTACTGCTGCTGCTGTTGCTGCTGCTGCTGCTTCTACCACTACTTCCCTTTGCCAACGCGCTTTCGCGTAGCCCCGGCGTAACCCCCCGCGTAGCCACTTATCAACAAATATGGTACACGTAGCCTCCGCGCAGCCAAATTCCTAGGGGGAAAGACAGCCGCGTAGCCTCCGCGTAGGTATGTGCTGCCAGTGTATAGGCCCCACACAATAAAAACAAACACGGCTCAGTTGCTCCTTCGAGGTCATTTGGAAGGGAAACCAAAATGAAACCGAATCTCCTTGGGGTGGGGTGCCCAATGAGAAGCCCAAATGGCAAAGAACAAGTTCAGACGTGTGGCCAATCCACTCCTCACTTGCCCAAAGCCGAGCCTTTTGGGCTTCCCTGATTTGGTCCTAGATGTGGTGAAGGTTCCAAAAGGTGCAACATGGTGCAATTTTTATTGGGCTTGGGCAACTGAGGAAGTGAGTAAGTTTTCCGGGTTCCAACTCATAGCTGCGGCCAACTGATCCACGCAGGAGCTGATCCGATCTGCTGCCATGCGGGGAGCGCACATCTACTGCCTGTTTTGGTGGCGTGGCTCGCGTGAGGTTCGGCCCACAATGTCGGCGATCACATGCAGCCGGGGGCACAAACACACACACTCTCTCCCTGTCTCAATATGCATATCTCTCTATAGTATGGGATAAATATATAAATATATAGTGACCGTGACCCTTTACCAGGATCTTGAAATCGATTCGTTTTACATCGCAGCTGTTGAGGAAATTATGGCACAAGTTGGATAAGTCCTTTCAGTTCAGCGGAGTCAGAGTCCATCCTCGTCCCTTGGTGTGTGGGTTGGCTTATGACTGGGGCCTTGAGGCCAGACCCTGCTGCTTGTGTTTGGTGTCCCTTAAAGTTGCACACCATCCAATCCCTGTAATTGCCCCAACTGGAGGCTGTCAAAAATTCCCCCCCCCCCTCCCCCCCGCCCTTGGTTAAGCCCTCTAAACATGGTCAATCTCAAACATAATTGGGTTCCTTTCTTTGTGTTTGTTTTGCATGTGGCTTGGTGGGTTTGCCCAGAAATGGGACACTGGTTGCAACTGGGGCGACCAGCCAGGCGATCTCTTTTCAAGGGAAACTTCGGTCAAAGTTTCCAGTAAAGCAGGGGACTGTGAACACAACATTGGTTTAACATTACGGGCACTTGGCCCTTCTCATTGGACCTCCGAACGTCTACCCAAGACCTCCTTTGTGGGCCTGTCTGTTTGTCCGTTTGGTGGCTCCTTTTCTTGAAGCACCCTCTGAACAGGTATTGCTTTATGTCTTGCTTTTGTGTCATTGCTTTTGTTGGTTCCTGGTCTTCAAGCACCCTCTTCAAGGAAATATTGCTTGTTGTTTGGTCCTTTTTGTCTGGGTCCTCGTTTTTGTGTCCTTTTTTGCGGGGTTCCGAATCTTCAGGGTTCCTCAAAGGACATCCATAGCCGCCTGCCTGCTCCACAAGGGGGTCATTGACACTGGTGTGTTTTTGGCCGGCCCAAAAGTGCCCCCACAAGTGTTCTGACACTACACTGGCATATCTATATGTATACACACATCATGTGTGTTTTTTCTCAAAACGGGTACCAACTCCACAGTTGGTACCCGTTTTGAAGGGACTCCAAACGGATTTTGCGACGTTCAGGGCCCTGTTCGTTGTCTCGGTGGGATTCCTTGTTCTGGGCTTTGCAGGTGCTTTTGTTTTGGGGTCCCCGTTGATGTCCCTTTCTTCATTGGTTTTCTGTTTTATATTTGTTTGTTTGGTCCCCCTTTTGTTTGGTGTCCCTCTGTTTGGTTTCCTTAAACCTTGTTTAACCAGCACGGAAGCAACCTTGTTTAGCTTACGGCCGCCTTTGTTATGCAACAGGATTTGCGCCTTGCATAGAAGGATTGGTACGTCTTGTGTTCTTGTATGACGCAGCAGGATTTGCAGCAATGCGGGGGTGGGGGAAGGGGGGCGGTGATGTGTTGCCACCATTGGTTTCATTGATGAGCAGTTTTGGCTTGTAGCGCACTGCATGGTGTTTGATACTGTTGTCATTGCTCTGGCTCTACTCATCCTCCTTCGTATATCTCGTCCACCCGTCCTAGCTTGGGTGTCTGGCTTCAGGTTCATGTGGTCTTTTTGGACCAACTGCTTGAAATGTGCTGTTACCAAAGTGTTACAAGTCTTGATGCGGGCGTCAGTGTCAACAACGAGATGCCACAGATGCTGACATAGTAAACCTGGTGTCAGACGTAGAGGATCCCTGCGCGCAGTGTGCTGCAAGAATCATATTGACACGAAGGATGTGGCGATGGACCGCCGGCCATGACCTTTGGAGCAGCACGGTGAAAACATTGCCCGCAGACAGAATTCTCTTGCGCAACTAGCACGGACGCAACCTTGTTTGAGAGCCCCCTTTCACGCCTGGTGACACCGTTTGTTCTTCAGAGGGTTTCACTTCAAAGTCAGCCATCGAACATCCGGCTTCAGATATTTGCCTCATGGAAACCCACTGCCCCCCACTCCGGGACACAACCAAGACGGGTTGAAACAAGAGCCCCAGGCTTTGAAAAATCACGCCCCGAGTTTCTGGGCTTCCACTTGAAGTTTCCAGTTTTAGGTCTCCACTGTTGGTTTCATGTTTGGATTCCTTTTTTTTGTTTGTTTTTCGGCTTTCATGTGTGGATCTTTTGGTGTTTTCGAGGAAGACGGCGCTCTCCGAGCAGCTGGGCTACCCAGTGGAGCAAACCGCCGCTGAGCTCACTGCGCTCCACCCCAACGTGCACACCTTGGTGGACACCACCAGGCATCTCGCCCCTCAGCCGAAGAAAAAAACGCAAAAATGAGTATGGGCGGTATGGGTCAAAATTAAGCCACCAGAGGACTGCAGGTTTTAGTGCGTGTGTCCATTTACCCGGGTTCTTTTTTGGGGACCGATGTTTGACCCACTGCCAAAGTGACGTTCAACGGGGGTCCCCAAATACGCCGCCACGGACCACGGGTGGGGGGGGGGGGTCAAAAAGGGTCTTATCTTGAGCAAACCAGAAAGAGGGGCCGGGGGTTGGAATGAGGCAGCAGGTCACCACCGGGGAAGCCGGAGTGAGAAAAGACATGCGCCAGCAGACTACTTTTACTTGGGCAAGGAAGACGCTGTTCACCCGCCTGGAACCCACACCTTCACTTATGTGCTCCCGCGGTCATGTGATACTGAGCGGCCAAGTGCTCCGGGCCTTGGCTCGTTGCGCCTGTACATTGACCTGATTCTTGGACTCTGATATACAGGTCTCCAGGTCAGACCCTGGCTTCACCTAGCAGTGCCATATCGACATGGCGCAGTCTATGTTTGACTCCGGCCTTGTAGCTATCAGGGGGCCTTTCTGAGATTTCCGTTGAGCACAGGAACTGAGGCCAGAGACAGGAACTTGTCAACTTGTCCGCTCCTGCTTGCGCGGGGGGTGGGCCACTGAACTCAGCACGGCCGCCGGGTTCTCTTTGGCTTTTCTTGACAACAATTAGAAAAGGGCGCCAACCAAAAGCCACCCATCACAAGCGGATGGCCTGGGCACCTTCTGGAGCTGTGTCTGGGTGTGCTCTTTGTGACATCCAAGTGGAGTGGTTTTCCAGCAGTCAGTCAGGGAGCAGGGAAAACCGCCAACCGCCTAAGAGACATATTCAAATTCCGCCTCTCTGACCCCCTGCGACACAGGGTCTGTGTGTGTGTTTGTGCGGCTTGTTTTCGAGTTGGTTTTCTTGTGACACCTCAGACTCCGACGCTCCTCTGGTCGGCCCACATCAAGGTCACAGTCTTTGCGCCTTGGCGAAATGATGGGAGTTGAATGTCAAGCGCGTCTTCCCATTACCCCAGGCCTCAAGCTTCGCGTCTTTCCGGAAGTTTCGGCCCAATCCGAGTGAGCGCAACGCCCAGCCACCCGAAAAGGTTCGATCACCGAACCTTTCCGGTGTGGCCCTGGGAAGGGTTCAGAGTTTTCTCGGACTCGGGCCCAAAGACGTATCAAGTGAAGCTATGGCCATTTCACTGGCCGGCCTCTTTAACTTAGTCAATAGGGGAACCCCATGGTGATTTCCTGGCTTCTTTTTTTGAAGCCATCTAATTCTTGGGCAATGCTGGGACTGAACTCTTTGAGGGTCCAAACGGGCCAAATTTTGTTTTGGCCAAATTGGCCTTTTGGGGAGGCACAGGAGCTTTTGGGGCCGCCTGAGGGGCCCAGTTGAGCACTGGAAGCCCGGAGGATAGGAAGCTCGCGTACGCCGGGGGCGTGGACTTTGCGGGCTCCCGGCTGGACGGCGAGAGGCGAGCCAAGAGCCGCGAGCCGGGGCGCGAGGAGTCGAGGAGTCGAGCGCCAGGAGTCGTCGGGGGCTCCAAATCATTTATGTTAGGGGTAGACCATGAAACTGTGCCCAGATGAAAAGACAATGTTGATTTGAGGGTAGCCAATGAAACTGAATCTGAACATATATATATATATATATCATTTTTGGACCCCAGATGTGGGCAAGGCTCTGGGTGCTCTGCGGTTGGTCTTGCCTTCTTGAAGGGAACCAAGAGGAAGCAACCGTTTCGGGGGTACTCACAGTGCATGGTGGGAGACAGGGATCAATCCCAGAAAGAGTGAGGGTTGATAGCCATTGGTCGTACCTGCGTGCTTAGCAGGGGTGGTTCACCAGGAGCCAACCAGGAAGGACATCAGCCAACAGTTAAGCAATTGCCACGACCTGTTCCTTTCTGGCTTAGACATTTTACATGGAGATGGGCGATCAAGATCCATCTTCGGGCTTGCGTTGTCGGGAAGGGGACAACCCAAGCTATGTTTGCCCTCTTTCCACCAATGGAAGTCAGGGGAGCTCAACCAGAAGGCTTTCAAGGTCCACCAAAAGCAAGGCAATACAACACGCAAAATTTTGCCCGGCAAAAATGGATGTAATTCGGTGCAACCCACCAGTTTTATAGTTGTTCCGTAGCCCCGAAGCCAGGGATCTCCTCTGACTTCTGCCTTAAAGTCCCCCCCAACTCGAAGTTCTCGCGTTGCCAAAATGGCACTTCCCACTCACCTAATTCGGCTCCAGGCACATCCTGCCGGACCAGGCGACACTGGGAAGGCTTAGCCTTAGGGTTGCACAATTCTTATGTGGTTGTTTTGGTGAAGTCATATATAGGGTGTTTCTCAAAATAATTAGGGGGAACCCTAAAAATGTTGATTTCCTGTTGGTTTCCCTGAAACTACCAAGCGAAAGGGGTCCACTATTTTGGGAATCTATTTAAGGACACCTTTCTGAGTGAAGCCTTGGGGTCTCTGTAGTTTTCGTTCCTTTCTTTTTGTCAAAAAACGGTGCACCAACCGCCCTAAAAAGAAAATGAAGGATGTCGCCATGCCAATGCATAACTGTGATGTACCCCCCTATGCTTTTTGGAGGGTTGCCTTGCATGTCATGTCTCGCCTGCAAGTAGCAGTGACCAAAATGCAAACAAAGCGCACAGTCAAGCACCTTCGGGGATGCCGTGAAGTCAGCTTGTGCTTTCCAGGGGCCTTCGTAGCCTTCCATTATTCCATTTTGAGGCTGTAGAAGAAAATGCTCATGGCTTGCAAATATATTCAGAGGCACAATGAAGCAGTTTCCTCCCTGCAGGGGCCTAAAACGGGGTGCAGGGTCTTGAGTTGATGAGCCTGTTGTGAGAACATAGCCCAATTGGTGTCCCTCATTCTTTCAACCAAACATCATCCCCCTACCCAGAACAAGAATGCCAAACAAAAGAAACGATTTCACGACATGTTCCGACTTGCAAGTCTTGCTTGGATGTGGGAATGGGAATGGAGTCGGAGTAAGGGGAACGGGAACGCCCATTCCGGTTCCCATTGCCTGAGGCTAAGTGAAATCCTACAAAGCCGGGTCTTGGGCTCCAGGCCAGGACTCCGAACCCGGAGCACGCGAGGGGGCAGCATGCGAACTTCAAGCCCTGGCACGGGGCCTTGGCCTTCGGGACTGCGGCCTTTAAGCTTAGGATGGGTCGGTTTGTTTTTGGGAAGCCGAATGGAAAAAGGGAAAAGAAGAGAAACACCGAAAGGGTTTTAAAGCACTTGACGAATTCACAAATCTTTTGTGTTTCTTGTTAAAAAGCGTTGGGTTGGTTTCGGGAAGCCGAAGCTCGCAAAGTGACCGGAAACCTCTTCATTTCACTTTCCAGAGTCAAGGTTCTGGGTCCTCCGACTTTGGCGAGTGAAAGGGAAACGAAAAGGGGACCAACCATTCGGTTTGTTCCCTAGAATGTTGAGACAAACTATTTTGAGAGAACTATTTTGAGACAAACAACCGATTTTGGATGGGTCCAAATGAAAAACTGTTAAACCTAGATGTTGATTGTTTTGTGGTTACGTGGGAATCCCTAAATATTGAAAGGGAAGGAACGCCCTGGGTCAGTGTTCCTTTTGCAGAAGGGCCATAAAAACCCAAGGAAGGTGAGTGTTGCTGACAGCACGATCTTTGGCATCAGATTAGCTTTGTTTCTGGTTTCCCTCTGGCATTCCCTTGGCTTCATTGTGGTTTCCCGTTGGTTTCCCATTGGTTTTGAGACCGGGAGACGTTGATCGCGATGCGTTAACGTTTTTCAAAGGCCTGGGTGAACACAATGAACCCCAAGAACCTCCATAGGAATGTCATAATTCACGAACCTTTTCTCACCTTTTTTTTTCTGTTAGCTCCTGGCTCGGCATCCGCGCGGAGCCAGTGTGCCACTCTGCGCCGCTGTCTCAGCGGTGGAAAAACCTCCCCAGCCCAACCGGCCTGGGTTCGGCACCATGTGCCATGTCCGGCACTCGCGCTGCAACTGGCACGGAGGAAAGGCCCTTGCCCACGGCCTTGACTGCCCCCCCGCTTGCATGCTGTCTCAGCCAGCCATCCACGCACTGCTGGCGCACTGCTGGCCATCTCCACGCAATGCTAGGCATACGAACCATGATGGCCTCGGTGGCCGGTCGCACCACTTCACCCTGCACCTCCTGGCGTGTTGCATGTAGAACAGCACAAAGCGCGTGGCGAAAAGCACGGACCCGCTCATGGCACAACATGGGAGCGTGCCTGGCGAGTGGCGTCTCCAAGCTGTCTACCCACCCATTTGTCCGGTCAAACCTTGGTCCTGGTTGCCCAGTCGCCATCTGGTAATCAACGAGTAACTGCAAGTACGAGACCCACTGGCACGCGGTCTCGTGGTCCCAAGCTGCTACCAACCATTGCACTACACGATTGACAAAAGCCTGGCCAAACTTCCCGGCAACGGCCTCCGGGACCGTGTGTCGCATGCCCCAAACCACTGGGGGGCACGGGCGGGTGGCAACTGCACGTTCCTCCCCGGGTCTGATTACCCTGGTGGCTCGAGTGGCAAGTGATCGCTCACCAACAGCGAGTTGGGTGCGCTGGATTTGGGCACACAGCTTACGTTGCGCATTGAGCTGTTCGCGATACTGTTGGCGTAGCACGCGAAATGCGTCCTCCCTGCACTTCTGAGCCTGCCCTGCAGCATGGTCGGCAGCCTGGTTGTGCCCCCGAGCCCACTCCTCAACTGGCCCAACGTCGTCACTTGCCTGGGTGTGCGCCGTGACCTTGAGCACCTGGATGGGCCACGGCATCGCGTCTAAGGTCTGCACAACGCACCGCCACAAGTCACTGTCCGTCCCATTAGGCCGCACGACTGTACTCCCATTGAGGATCCGTTGCATGCGCCTTACCACCGTCAGGTTATCGACCCAAATTCGCGTATGAATGCGGTACTGTGCTGACACGTGCAAGGCTGCCAAGACCCCTGTGATTTCAGCCCGGAGCACTGTCTGTAAGATACCTGTCACTTGCCCACTGGCAACTGTCTGGCTACTCTGCCCTGCCTCCTGCTCCACCATTATGACCGCCCAGCCTGCAGTGCGGATTGCTGGATCAGCCGGGTCTTCGCATGCACCATCAGTGAACAGATCAAGTGTGTGACCTGTGTACGGGACTGGCTTGATGACCCGGGAGGTGTCAGGGATGCTGTCCAGGGCCCTCCACCACGCTGTCTTGAGTGGACTTTCCTGGGCCCATCCATGATGCGTGAGGCACTTTGGCAGCTGTTCTATCCCTTCCAGGGTGTGCATTTCAACATGCTGTCGGCAACCCACAAAGTGGACACACTGCCATGTCCGATGCAGTATGCTATCCGGTTGGCCACACCACGGGCAGTCTGCCGGCTCTTCCTCATACATGCGATGCCGCCAGTCTTGTGTGTAATGCGTGCCATTATGGACTATGTGCATGAGGGCTTGCTGCGCCACTGTCCACTGCTTTCGAAGTCGCTTGCTTTCACCCGGATCAACCTTTTCCATCCCCTGGAAAGAATCCCGATGCTGCATTTGGGCCCCTACCTTCTGCGCCCATTTGCGGCGCATGCGGAGCTCAACAAGCTGCATTGGGCTGGTGATCAAGTGGAATGGTCCCGCATCATCGACTGCAACCATTGAGCTGGAGATGGCTACTCCCACTTCCCCTGCCCTTTTAAGGAGCAAATGGACAGGACCAGGACGGTCTACCGCATCTGCTTGCGCCCAGACCTGCTGAACCACTTCTTCCACCACTTCGGACATGGCAACCTCCCGAATTTCCTTAATGCTCCTCATCAAGGCAAAATAGCCCGGGTCAACACTGAAGTCTTCCACTAGTGCGAGGTGCACAGCGGGGTTAGCTCCCTTTCGGTCACACTGCAGCCCTCTCATCGCTCCAGCCCTCAACGTCTTAAGGGTAGGCTCAGCTACATTGGAGATACTGCACCCATGGAGCGCCCTGGGCCATGCGCCGGCTTTGACTGCCAGGACCTTAGCTCTGTACGGGCTCCAGCTTCGTCGCAGCTTTCGCCAGAGGTCCGGCATCTCTTCCACTCTCTCCATCAACGTTCGGTTAGTGGCACGGCGCCCGTATTGCATGTGTGCCCCCAAATCTCGGGTGGATAGATGCACTGCAACTCCAGCGCCTCGCAAGACTTGTCTATCTGAAGAATGCGTTGCCCATCCAACACACTTGGCCGGGTCCATACAGAGATCCAACGCACTAGCAAAAGTTTCCATGGCGTAATAGGCCTCCAGGGCTGCAGCTGGATCCTCATCTACCACTTCCCAGTTGTCAACGTACGTAAGCACCAAGCTTGACGGCACCTGGCGGTTGACTTCGTACTCTAGCACAATGTCAACAAGTACCATTGCAACTACGCTCATGGCACACCCCTCTGGGTAGCCCGTGCAACTAGTGATGGCATCTCCAGTGGAGCCTCGGATGACAAATCTGCGTTCCATCTGACTCAAGGCACCCAGCCATGCTCGCAGTACGTTGGCTGGCAGTCCCAAACGACTGGCAATGCGGAACACCGGCTCTCGTGGAATGCAGTTGAATGCTTTCTGCACATCGCCTATCACTCCCGCTAAGTGTTCATTACTCAGGTGGGCTGCTTCTAACTTAAGCTGTAGCTGAAACCACAACTGTTGCGCGTGGCGCCCAGGCAGGTTGCCAAAGTGGTTGGCACTGCAGTGGGTGGCAAGGTAAGCCAGGATGGGCTTGGCTCTCGCCGACGACCACACCCTGTATGCTAAGCTAAAGACTGTAATCGGCCGGTACTCGTTCACGCTCTCCGCTCCTGCTCGTTTTTCCAGCGACGCAATCAGCCCCACTAGCATCTGCTCTGGCCACTCGCCCGTTTGCTCAGCATGCTCGTACAGTTTGAGAATCTCATCAACCAGGGTAGGCGGCATGGCAACCAAGTCTTGCTTGCACACCGAATCAGGCCCGGGGGCAGCATTATTGCGTTTGTGCGCAACCGCCTTAGCCCACACAGCACGAGTGAAAGGCTCCGCTTCCTGGGCGGGCTGTTGAGGCATGGCATCGATGATGCGGTTGATGGAATCCCATTGATCCGCAGGACATGCCAAATGCTTTTGCCACCTTGCCTTCCAAGCCTCCCCAAACTGCCGGAACATGCTGTCAAGGTCACCTACCATACGAGTCTGTCGCACAGTATCTCCTACCTGGACATCGTCCACATCTTCCAACCAACATTGGTCTGCTTCTGCATGGATGATTTGCCGAGCCTTGCCTGCAACGACAAGTGGCAATGTGGGGTCAACCTTCACTGGCTCATTGCACACAATGGCAACTTCATCTACGCGCACTTCAGCAACCTTTGCATGGGCATGGTGGCACAACACATTGACTGGCTGCGGTTTCTCCCTTTTCACATCCTTGAAGACCAACATGGGCGCAGCTCTTCGCACTTGCTTGGCTCCTCGGATGCTATGTTGGCGCATGGTTTGCCCCAACTGAGCCACTTGAACCTTGAACTCCGCAAACATGCTAGCTCCCTCAGCTGCACTCGGAACCGCATCAGTCAAGGCTGGAATGCACTGCTGGCTACGTTCAGAACTGGTGGCCACCCACCACTGATCGAAGCTTGGTTCGAAACCCTTCGCAGCTCGAATGGCAGCCCAGACATGCCTACATTGCTCTTGATTGGCCTCGCTCTGGACCTGAACACTGACAGCATGTGCAAGTGCTTGGAGCCTCCGAAGTTGCTTGAACCACTTACTGTATCTCCAGTTGGAGCCATAGAAGTTCGGCTGCACCTCACCTTGTCTGGAGGCTGGTATGGGAGTAAGTCCCTCTTCAACCTTGCGTGGTGCGAACGTGCACGCTCGTCCGCGCTGGGTACGCTTAAGCCTGACTTGCTGATTAAGGCGGTGCTCATACTCCTGCATGATTTGTTGGTACTTGTGCGTGCTAGTGGCTCCACTTGGTGCAAAACTCTCATCTGCCAGTTGGCCCACGGCAGTGTAGTCATCAACTGGGCGAACCTTTCTCCATGGCGTGCGGAAAATTTTCTGGCCCGGCCACCTGAATGTGGCAACTACCGCTGAATGGTCGGAACACAAGTCATGCATGACGTCAACTGCTGTG